ATTGTTTAAAGTTGCACATTTGAGATAAAATAGTGTAGTCCTGTTTCTTCGTTGTTCTTGAGACCATTTTTCGGCCGGTTGATGTTTGATTGATTTCGTTGTTTCACAGGTGGACCTTTGTTCTTGTCACTGTATATTTTGGGGTGTGTCCTTCCTCATAACCAAATATTGCAGAGTAAATATGTGTGCCTCTGTGTGTGTGCACGCACATGGGTGCTTGATGTGCATGCTTGCACTTTGTGATGGTTGATATCTTCCATTATATTCATCTATTGTTTCAATTGGTTTTCGATATATCACCTGATATGAGCACCTCGTTTACATAATAAACCATATCTTTCAGCTTGGTTCTTTACTGTCTGCTTATGGCTGCCACCAATATCTCAAGAAAATGGGTGGTGATATGATGAATGGATCAAGCTTAGATGCAGAGCGTGGTATAAATGTAGCAGACATCAGTGAGGAGCGAAAATGTTCATCGAACAATCAAAAACTCGGTGTTTAATGAGGTACACAATGTTAAATGGGCTGTTGTATCAGTTTTATGTGTTCCAAATCATCATTGAAAATGTTCAATTTTTGTTGTTAATATTTTGTCTTATATGGGTGGTAATCACACCATGGTGACCACAATCAAGTTTTCTTGATTTTTTTAGTTTGAACCAAACACTAGAAAATGAGGGAATCCAAGTTTTCTTGATTTTTTTAGTTTGAACCAAACACTAGAAAATGAGGGAATCTATTCACACATCAATTGTTTTCTTCTTTTTTCAAGTTGAACCAAACTAAGAAAAGTGGTGGAAAGTACTTCCAGCCCATATTTTTTGGCGAAACAAACACAGAAACACTTTCATGGAAAATGAAGGAAACAAAAAAAAAAAAAAAAATGAAGAGGACGGTAGATTTGAGAACACAAAAAAAGTCGGTCTTGCAGCAGCCTCGGCAGTCCCTCAAATAGAAAATCCATGTCCCGTGCAAATATAGTCAAGTACGGTAGATTTGAGAACACAATAATCTCCTCTCCTCTACAAAATGACCACTCTTGCAAATTTGGCATCCAAAGAAGGCATGCAAAATGACCACTCTTGCAAATTTGGCATCCAAAGAAGGCATGCAAAATGACCACTCCCATACGGCACTTATTAAAAATAACATGGATATTACAACCCAAAATAAAGTCGGAAATTATCATCCTGATGCTGATGTCGCTCTTGCAGCAGCCTCAGCTGTCAAAAATCAAAACAGGAACCCAAAAAATCTCATAAGTTGGTAAAAATAGAAGGTCCTTTGTTATAAAGAATGCATCATACATCCTACACAGATTCCCGCTGGAAGGTACAGCATCATTAAGCAATATTCAGAAAAAAAACTCTGATCGAATTTGAGCAGTTACAGTCTTACAGACCAAGATAAGTGCACGCAATAGCTACAGATCATGGGAAAACAAACTGGTGGTATAAATGAACTATAACTAGAGAAAAGTTCAAACATACACGGATAAAATTGACACAACTTATGACCACCAATTCATCCTGCTCTTTCATTTCAAAATGTTGCAACAAATATTCCTGAAAAGTAAGAAAGCTAGATCTATCGTTTCTCATCTGTCATGCAAACAAAAATCTCATCTGGCAAACCTATAGCCTACGTGGTAAAACCCAAAAAACTGTTAACAACTTATGAGAAGGTAACAGCTAATAACAACCACAACTAGACCTATTTCTTCTTAAAATAATAGATAATTTGGAAAAAAATGGTTTTATATCCTAATTTTGAAACTAATGTATTTTTATATACAGGTCAATTTTGAAAATCAATTCTAAACCCAAAATACCGATCAAAGTTTTATGACATAGACCACTAAAAGTGGTGTATCTGCAACGAAATCTGCTAGTTATGTAGCAGATATGATACCATAAATCTTTTTTTAAATTAAGGATTGGGTATAAAAGCAGTTTCGGTAAGTAGATGGGTGTAAAGTAGATCAGTTTCAAACTCAGGGTTTGGAACAATTCCTCGATAATATTACAAACAAATCTTTATTCAGGAATCTGGTCCTTTCTTTCAGAAATACCAGTGCAAGTAATCAAAGTTCAGCTTCTCTGAAATCATTTTGACACAATGGTTTGTATGAAATAAAAAAATGATAATGCTTGTGATCGATCTGAAACTAAAAATGTTAAAGCTAAAAGTTTAAATGCCACGGAAGGAATGCAAGCAAAGGACAGAATTGCAGACCCAAACATAAAAGTTTAGAGTGCTACATTCAATTCCAATTTCAAATAATCGAGGCTGGCTTACATTGCCATACAAACAGAAGGCAGGCTTTGAAGAGTAGGCATCATGGTGCATTATCTATGATGTCAAAGCACAAATTCCTCTCATACACAATATACTGACATTAGAAAATAAAATTAGCCATTTATCATGTATCATTTAACTATGAATGTAGATAAATCAATGCATATGGGATCGTCTGAACATCGCCTTTTTCCATAATCAAGAGAATATAAGTTGACTATAAAATCTTCATATTTTTCACAATTCTTAAAATATCAAGTTTAACCACCAAAACCATTAATCAACATAATTCCCCATTTAGTACTGCTTCCAAATGCCTAGTCAAATATCATCGCAAATAAAAATGCTAATTCAGATATTCTCAGTACTCTTTTTTTTTATTTTCCTTTCTTTAACAGAAAATTTCTTTACTCTTATCTTGCAACATCCAACTGCCCTTTGGTTAAGAATATCAATGGAAAAAGAATTTACCTATAAAACTAGGAGAAGAGTGCAGCTAGAATTACATTAACACGCAAGGGCGTTTCTCAGAAGAAGAATTTTTTTATTTTTTATTATAGCTTGCATTTTGAAACCACAATTTGAGAGTCAACATATTGCTATCATAGGGAGGAGAGTGAAAATTTACTTTTAACATAATTTTGTGATTTTTTTTTTGAAATTCTTTTGAAATTGTATCTACATGTAATTTAACATTCAATGACAGGATAGAGGAGTGTTAGATATAGGTGCCCTGCAGGCAATAATTGTATATTGTAACAGGATCTATATGAATATAACATCCTTATTCTAAATAATAGTATGCTATTTTGGTCAGATTTATCTGGTATTTTTTAAATACAGATAAAGTCCTTAGAATGATACTAGACTATCAGACATTTCAGATATGATCGTAATGAAGAGATCTGATTTGTCGCTAACGTATATTCTAAAATCTTCCTAGTCGATGAAGTGTTGAAATGGTAATGAAGAGATCTGATTTGTCGCTAACGTATATTCTAAAATCTTCCTAGTCGATGAAGTGTTGAAATGGGACATCATCACTTTGGTAACACTAGTGTATACTTTATTTCTTCTTTGGAAGGACGATGATCCATCTCTTAGATCATTGATGTGAAACATCAAGATATAGTATACAGGTGACTCATTAGTGAATGAGTTGACTGAACAACTCACTGAGAACATCTAGTTGGTAATTATACTTAACTGTCAAATAGTAGTTCTCAAGTGATATAGTACAAAGTAGTCTCTTGACCTGAGGCATGAGTACAATATCTTACATGTCAGTATAGGTGTACTTAGACTTTTACCTAACCACAGTTCTTTTCGAGTTGTGCATAACGGTTCTTGTTGGGTACATCCCGAGGCATAAGTAGATATTGAGATGCTAATATGGGATTCATCTCTCCCAGTATAGGGGGTTAATGTCATAAGATTGTATGATATAACTATAACCTGGAAATCCTTGGCCGAGGTAAATAAGATAAACTGAGTGTCAGTTTGATCTTATAGGTTATGAGTTTAATATCAACAAACACTAATTGAGCAATTAGGGTTTGACAGTTTTCCATACCCTAAGCTTAATAGTTTGACATGGTTTGACGAAGAGACCGGACTGTACGGCATTATCACTGAGTGGTCCTGATAAAATTGTGTAAGCATCTTGCAGACATTTATCACAACTTATACCCAGGTAGTCTTCATGTATAGCTAGCACCTCTGTTGTACTTGTGGATATGATCCACTGCCGAGTTCTTAAGTTGGGTCCTAGAGTCACACCAAGCGCGTACTTGAATCCTATGAAACACAATTTATAGAGTGATGCGTATGATTGATACGCATATATGATTTTACCGGATACACATAAACGGTTATGTATAACGGTAAAATCAGAGTGCTATGTGCTTAGGAAATGAATTCGAGTATTTTTCCCAACAGTTGACTTTTAGTCAACTCATTGACTTTTTGGTCATATGATGACTTATTAATCAATGATTGGAAAATTATAAAATATCGTATTTATGAAATACAATATTGATTTGGTATTCTCATTTATGAAATACACATACCATGTATAATGAGTCATGAGATGAGTCGTTTAGTGGTATGGTTTGAGCACATGGTTTATTAGCAGATGGTTTTGAAATGTAATGATTCATAAGATGATTCATTGCATGACTCACTAGATTAATCATTGATATTTGATGATTAATTGCATGACTCATAGGATGAGTCATTCATGTCATGAACATATTTCACTCTACAAATATGAGCTCTCTTTCTTATGGAAAGGCTAATGAAAAATTGGTTAATTGTTTTTTTTTCATAAGAGAATAAAAGAGAGCTCTCCTCTTACTAAATTCTAGCAATCTTGAGTAAGAGGAAGTAGTCGGATTTTATAGTACTCCCGAGTGGATATCTTACCTTGTGTCTCAAGAAGACTCTGATTTTATCAAGCCCACTTGAAGACTTGGAGATCCACTACGAGGAGATTTTCTACTACAAGGAGCAAGAGCTAAGGGTTGTTCGATCTTACATCGAATCACGCTTCGAAAGTATGACTTTCTAACTCTTGAATGCTCTCTTTAATATAGGGATTATGTTAGATTTAATTAGGATGGTCCTATTATGTATTTCTTGCTCTCTACATGCTTAGCATAATTATACATATAGTCTTCCGTTGCGTATTTTGCATGTATTTAGCATGATTTTCCTTCAAGGAGATCACTAGCCATTGTCGAATCTGCATCTTCTTTTTTTAGTCTTGGACAGATTTCTTCACATTTTGAAACCTTAGCATTAGCACCAAACACCTGCAAGTCATAAGAATCTTTATGTTAACACTACAAAATAAATTAGTTGTCCTCATTTTATAACTTTAAGAAAGCCCTTTGGAGAATGAGAAAAACCAAACAGGAGTAAAGAAAATATAAATGATGGGTTCTTTTTCTAGAGGATATTCCAAAAACAAAGGGACAAAAAACTAATTCCTCTAGAAGTAATGAGAACTTAGCAGGACAGAGTAAAGAAAAATAAATGGATATGAAAAGGGACCTACACAAATGGTATTTCTCAAAGACTGATGCACCGAGTTGAATACTGCAGAAAGAAAGGTAAAGGTAAAAATGTCAATTTTCCAGAATACTTACTTAAACGCCATTCTCTGTGCTGTCAGACTGAGATTCAGTAAGTACATCGCCATTCTCTGTGCTGTCAGACTGAAATTCAGAGACGCTAGTGTTCTCCCACCCGTGGGTGGTTATTGGTCTCGTATTGATAGGGTTCCTTGGTGTATCTTAGATATAGATCTCTACGAAAACTCTTGGCTTGGACTCTGGGTATGTTTTGGATGATTGGCCAGTATTCTCCTCCCATAACACACTTACTGAAAAGAGCATCGTTACTAAAATGCAATGCAAGTGTAAAATAATCATCCTGATGCAGCTGTCGGTCTTGCAGCAGCCTCAGCAGTCCCTCCGGGAGAAAGTCCCTTTGCCATCTTTTTAAGGTTAGCCTCTCCAATGAATCCAGTTTCTCCACATTTTTCAATTGAGGGCAAATCCCCTCAACCCTCAACTTTCTTAGTGCAGGAAGATGAGAGATCCTTTCCAGACTTTGACAGCTGCGGATGAACAACTCCTTCAAGGGAGATCCCTTCAGGCCCCCAGGAAGTGATTTCAATCTCGGGCATTCCAAAACAGACAGGAACATTAGATTTGGGAACACAGTAATCTCCTCATCTCTACAAAATGACCACTCTTGCAAATTTGGCATTCCAAAGAGATAAATAGACTCAAGCTTTGGAAAGAGCGCCTGTGTAGAACCGCTCCCATAAACCTCTGAGCCAAAGGATACAACCGCTTCGGCATACCAAATAGTAAGACGTCTCAATTCAGGGAATAGACCGAGAGGAGGAAGCTGCACGACGTTTCTGCATCTATAAAGGGACAAACTTGTGAGATGGGGAAGAAGAAATCCCAGCGATGGTGGCATCATCCAAACTGGAAACTGACGACCAAAGTATCCATGGATTCTTAATTCTTCCAGGCATGGCGGTGGGGCCAGCTCCTCAAACACATCCTGAATTCTGCGGATCTCCCCTTCGCTGTACTCAGCTGGTGGGGATTCCCCCGGTTTAGTGCAGGCCAATCTTAATTCCTTAAGATGACGTTTGTTCCCAAGCACATGTCGTCCCTTCTGCGCTACCACCGCCTCCTTTATGTTATGTATTTCCAGCGCCCTCAGCTGCCCCAAAGGGCTCAAATCTTCCAAGCTGCAGCCTTGCTCCCCTCCCACAACAAAGCCGTTGAAGTAATTTAACCGCTCTAATCTTCCCATTCCAGATGGTACAAAGGACAGGTAAGTAGTCTCTACTTCAATAATTCTTAAATTGCACAGTGAAGTAATGCCTTTGGGAAGACTGCGGAGTGAAAAATAGCGAGCGAGATTTAGAACCTGGAGATTTGTAAGGTTCCTTATTGACTCCGGCAAGCTGGATATTCTTGTCCTGTTAAGATCCAAAAGCCTCAGGTGTATTAGATTTCCCACAGCATCTGGAATATTCTCAATCCCTGAATTCGCCAGTGACAGGACCCGGAGAAGTGGAAATCCAACAAACACGTCGCTCCCAAGACTGTAAGAGCCTCTTAGAAACAAGACTTTCAAGCTCCTCTGCGAAAGTAAAGGTTGAGGGGTGAGTGCTAGTCTTCCTCCTTTGTCCGTAAGTGTCAGACGGCGAAGTTTCGCCGTGGCGGACACTGTAGCTAATTTCTGTGCTTCTCCACAAAAACTTTCATCCTGTGACAGAAACTGAGCAAGTGATCGCAAGAGATCGTGCATTTTATAACGTTGATAATCGCTTTCTTTATAGATAAGATTCCTTCTAACTAGCTCTTCCAAACACTCCTCTGCTGGTTCTAAGAAATAATCATTTTGCGTTTCTGCGAATCCTTCAGCTGCCCAGTACTTCACGAGCTCAGCACGATCAAATAGATAATCCTCAGGGAATAAAGAGCAATAAAGAAAACATTGCTTCAGGTTAGAGGGTAGATCTTCATAACTCAAGTACAAGGCCCCCCTCACATCTTCAGGTAGCTCGCCCATAGACCATGCATCCTTTTCCAAAACTTTTTCCCATTCCCTCCGATTTCTCCCTTTTGTTATTAAAACACCGGCAATGCTCTTAATTGCCAGAGGGAGACCGTCGCATTTATCAACAATTTCACCCCCTACATCTCTCAGACTTTGCATTTCCTCCTCCTCTCCGGTGACATATAAACTCTTGCAGAGCAGTTCCCACCCAGATTCTGGCGGCAATTTTTCCAGGGCATGGATGTGCTCCGCCGCCCCCATCTGCATAGCAACATTCGTATCTCGAGTTGTGACTAGGACTCGGCTTCCAGCAGCTCCGCTCTGTAGTGGATTGCGTAGTAAATGCGCCCATACATCTGCTCGCCACACATCATCTAGCACCAAAATGAAAGTCTTTCCTGAAACTGCTTCCTTCAGTCGAGGTTCCAGTTCCGCTTTAGTTTGCAAATTACAAGGATCTCCTCCCGCTCCTCTTATTATCTCCTTGAGCAAAGAGGTCTCTGAGAAATTTTGTGATATGCAGACCCATATCTTTGTTGAGAACTCAGACTTTACTCTCGTGTGATTGAAGATATTTTTAGCCAGAGTAGTCTTCCCTATTCCGCCCATTCCGGTAATAGCCAAGACTTGGAGTTTTCTTTCATCTTTATTAACTATCCTCCCTACCAGATCGTCTGTAGCACGTTCAATGCCCCTCCCCACGATATCAGACGTATCTATGATAGGTGAGGTCTGACAAGTGTCCACTATTGTGATTCGAGTATCTGGTTCACTTTTCACTAAGTTAAGGCCTGACATATTTCTAGATATCTCATCCAATCTCTCATTTAGTTTCTTAATCATATCACCAATCTCATGCCGGAAACGGATGCTAGTAAAGCAAGAGAATAAGCGAGGGCGGCTACAACATACCGTTGACGAATCAGATGATGTAGACGGTTGGCCTTCAAGCAATTTTCCACCTTCGTACCTGCATAGGTCAATTATGTCATCGGCATCGTACATAACATCTTTGAGCTCCCTCACCCATCCTGCAACTGATTCTGATTGGATGCGCTTTCTCTCAGCATCATGAAGCACATGCTTGATACTTTCCAGCCTCCGCTGCAGCTTCTTGAGCTCATCTTTCACGCCCAGGACAGTTACCACCTTCTCCTTAACAACGTCAGCCATGTTACTGACTATGGTGCTAGCTAAAGCATCCAGCACCATGGCCATCTCCTCAAGAAAGAAGCAAGTATTGGAGATTTCAGAGAGTTCACAACCAAATTTCTAGTTTGCTTTGTTTAATGAGGATTGGGTACTTAGAAGTAATTGCTCTCCATTGTATAGGCTTTTCTACTTTTCTATTCTCCCTCTCTCAATTATTGAGGTACAAGTACAGGTGAAAGATATGCCCACGCGCTTTGCTACAAGTGGGAGGAACATCATACTCCCTTCAGAAGTACGAGTTGGGAAAATCTTTCTATGGTCGATATTACCCTTAACTTTTATTAAATATTATATTGTTATCCTAATCTATTCTAATTTTCCTATCTTCTTTGGATTTATAATTAAATAATTTTAATTTTCCTATCTTGGATTTATAATTAAATAATTTATCTTATCCATAATTAGACTTAACACGTTATTGGATAAAGGTGACATATTTAATATAATTCAAATCTTTTACTTATTTCAGTTTGTAGAGAAATCAAAAAAATATATGCTAGCCAGCACCTAAAAGTTTTTGGACCTTGTAAAAAATACCCTCTAAGTTTTTAAATTGCAAAAGCACACCCTACAAATTTAAAATTTTATTTAAAAATTATAAATTTTACTTATTTAATTTCAGTGAGAAATCTAAAAAATATATGCTAGCAAAAAAATAAAAGTTTTTGACATTGGAGAAAATATCTTGTAAGTTTTGAAAAATGCAAAAACACTCCTAAAATTCAAATTTTCTAAAAAACACATTGAAAATTTTAAACCTATAAACACACTAAAAATCTACAAATAACACAAACAACCCAAAAAATTTATGAAATTTGCAATAAACACTCTAAACTTTTTACAAATTGTAAGATAAAACCCTCAAAGATTGTAAAATTTATAAAAATCCTGATAATTTCTAACCTAATAGTACATTGGAAATATAGGAGTTACAAAAATCCCCAACATAATTTATAATTTATAGAAAACACCCTTAAAGTTTTAAAAATTACGAACAAACACTCAAAAATTAAATTTTACAAAAAACACCCTGACAATTTCAAACTCATTAGTAAATTAAAAATATAGGAATTATAAATAGTGTATAAACAATTTACAATCTATAGAAAAGACCTATATGTTTAAAAAATTATAAAAAACCCCTAATATTCATAATTTACAAAAAAACACCATAAGAATTTCTAACCTATAGACATTAAAATGAATATACAAAATTACTAGCAACCCCTAGAAAATAAAAAATTTATAAAAAATATCATACTCCCTTTAAAAGTATAGGTTTAGCAAAATTTTTTTATGGTCAATATTAACCATAACTTTTTAAAAAATAACATAACTAATTAAAAAATCTATTAGATTTGAAATTTACAAAAAATCAAACTTAAAGTTTAGTACATTGTAAATTACCCCTCCAAAGTTTAAATTTTTTCAATGATTTTTTGTAGTTCCTTGATTTTAATATAATTTTTAATAGTTTTGTGTATTTGTAAATTATAAAAGTTTATGGTGTTTGTTTTGACAATTTTAAAAACTTTTGAGGGTATTTCTTTTGTAGTTTTATAAATTTTTATTGTGTTTTTAGTGTAATGCATAGATACATCAATTAATGATGATATTGAAGAGTAAGTCGTTCTTAAGATGTATTAGGCTATAGCTAAGTATGCATATCACTATTCCTATACAGTATAGTTTATACATGCAAAAGTTTTCAAACAACCTATATAGCGGTTAAAAGGTTTTTGACTTTAATGTACTATTTTTTATAAATTATATTTAATATGAACCCACCATATAATTTTATCTATGATCATTATAATTTTAATACGTTTAATTGATTGACTATATATGTATATAGACCATAGATTACTTTAATTTCTCACATGAACTAATATTTGGCACTTAATAATTTAAATTATTACTTTTAATTATATTTATTTATTTACCTATAGGATAATACAATTTCAATTCTTATTTTTTGCTTGAGATTTATTTTATAGTTAAGCGTATCAAATTAGTTACTAAAATAATAATTATTTATGCTTAAATTATGATGATTATAGTTGATCACTCACTATGAAATTTTTATAAATATATATACCTTGCTTTCTATAACTCTTTGCACTGCCCATGTATAGTTTATAAATTAGTTATTAATTTGACATATTAAATTACTTTTCCTTTATAGAAATTTCTTCTTTGACTTTTGGATTATGTAATCACTATGTCACCATTCTAGCGTAGATAAACCTCATTCTAAATGACTTCTAACCAATGTTTGAGTTGAACTGAAGTATATACTATTGCTACTATGTGTATATATTTTTTTAAGAAAATCATGTCTACACTTTTTAAACAGAAAAGAATATTCTAACCTCTGATATTATAAAAATAAAATATAATCAATTGAGTGACTAGCAAAAGAGGACTTACATCAGAAAAGTGTAAATAATAAGATAAAGAGGAAAGGTAATGGCATTGCCAACAGTATTACTAATAGCAAACTATAATATAAAGTTAACATATTTTGTGGAGCCCAACTACTGGCTATAAGCATCGAGTTTTCCATATATATACTTTATAATTTATTAAAAAGGGTATATAATCTTATATAATAAAATTGATTTAATACTGAATAGTAATATCATTGTAAATGAGCAATTACAAAGATGTTAGGGACTAACATGTATGTATTTAAGATTTTAGGACGAATATCTTAATAACCTATTTATATAAGCACACTCACTTTGTCACCTATTCTGTTCACTTTTCTTCTCGCTCATTCTCCACCAATTTTGATGTCACGCTCGAAGAGAAATAGAATTCATGTCAGTGAGGTCTTCTCTCCCTCTATCCCTTGATCTAATATTTTTTTAAATTAGTTTCTTTAATTATTTTTTAATAATTTCTTGGATCCATATTGCATGCTTCATTCTGTAAAGTGCCTTGTTAGATTCAATTTAAATATACTTTTATTTCAATTGTTATTTTTTCCTATTTATGGGTTAATTAATCACCAGAATATTTAGATCTTTTCGCCCATTTCATATTTTGAATTAATAGTTTATTTTAGGAGAATTTTTAAAAAGATTACTTTTTAAAAATATTAGCAAAATCGATTGTTTTACGTAATAAGTAACAAAATTGACCTATTTTTTGCCACACCATCAAGACTGGCAACAAAGAGGTCGATTTTGTATAAAAATCATCTTTAAAATACACGGGACTAATAGTCCCGTGTAATTAGAGAACATTAATTACAAAAGTAATTAAAGTCAAAAAATATACAGGACTACCACTCTTGCATATTTTGTAGTCAGAACCAGAAAATACATGAGACTATTGTATATGTCCTATATACAATATAATTGCTCCAGGCAAGTGAGTTATAATAGCATTTTTCATTCACATTGTTTGTAGTAAGATTTGATAAGGACCTTGCATCAAAGAGATTTTTTATATTTAAAGTACAAGGCGAAATATATCATAATCTCATTGCTCTAATTTTGTAAGAAAATAAATCTTCATACTTTCAGTTTTACTTCTATGGCATGGAGAATGAGCTATAAAATTGAATGAGAATATTAGATAATATAAATATGAGTGAAACAACAACTAAAAAGTTAATGTGGATGAGTCAAACCACAACTAAAAGTTTAATAGACATATTACAAATAAATTCATATGAAAAATTCCTTTGCGAATTGAATGATCACCCATCTTTTAAAGACTTCAAGATACTAATAAACAAAGATATTATACTAGATTAATGTGTTTATAACTCACAAATAGTAGATCACGTGGCGATAGTCTAGGTTAAAGGAAATAATGATAATATTTCATTTGAAAGAGAGATTATTGTGTTGATAATCAATCCCAAAAAAAACTTTATTTTCTCCTTTATTTTTATTCTATTTTTATCAATTTAAACAACCATGATATTCGACCACGTGCATTGCACGTGCAATCTAACTAGTAAGATATAAGTCTACGGGACAATTGTTTAAATTCTGCATGTGAAGTCAATGGAAAGTGTAGATAACCTTCTTGTAGATATTGGCTTGAATTTAAACATCTGACTGGGGCCCGTTTGAATTTGAAAAGAGAACAAAACAAGACTTTGGGGAGAGAGAGATCACTGTCACCTCACTTCTCTCTTAAGTTTTTCAACATTGGCGGCTTATCTAGATTTGAGCCAAAGAAGCAACAAACCGCTTGAAATTTGATGTCGCCATTGCCATCACTTCGCATAGAGAGAAGTCAATTTGAGGTGGGCCTTGTTGGATTCTAAATATCTCTTGTTCTCTCTTAAACTCCAAGGAAGTTTTCTCAACCAGAAGACGGGTGAGCTACATAATAAAGAAGAACTCTCAAAATCTCAAATTTTGTACAAGTGTTGTAACTCAGAGGGAAATAGAATTTAAGCCCCCTCTTGCCGTGGACGTAGATCAATTTGATCGAACCACGTAAATATTGTGTGCTTGTGATTGTCTCTCTATTTTTCTTGCTTTGTGTTTAATTATCCCAACAAACTGGTATCAGAGCTTCTCGGTTCTAGGACAACTTTCAATCCTCCACAATGGCTTCTGTGAAGTTCTCGGTGTCGATCTTCGATGGCCAGGACAATTTCGGCCTATGGAGGATAAAGATGAAGGCTTTGTTGCGACGTGAAGGCACAGTTAAAGCTATCGATGAGAAATACCCAGAAGATATGACTAGTGCCGAGATCGAAGAGATGGACGAAAAGGCTCACAGCGCCTTGCAATTGTCACTATTCAACAATGTGCTTCGTGAAGTTGCCGATGAGGAAACGGTAGCGGGGTTGTGGTCAAAGCTCGAAAGTCTCTATTTGAAGAAATCTCTTACTACGAGATTATACCTGAAGCAGCGACTATACACATTGAAGATGAAGGAAGGTACACCCATTCAAGAACACCTTAATGAATTTAATAAAATTGTCATGGATATGAAAAACCTGGATCTTAAGCTTGATGATGAAGACCAGGCTC